CCTTCAGAGGCTTCCGCCGCTTCGGGCCCCCGATACTCCGCGGCCTCCGCAGCCTTCGCCGACTCCGCCGCGGCCTCCCTCTCCTTTTCTCTGCCCTGCGGCTGCTCCTGAGGGAGCAAGGGTACCTCTGAGTCTTCTCGTGGGTTCAGCTGCTGCTGTGGCAATGGTTGGGGGTGCTGCCGCTGTTGCTGCCGCTGCTGTGGCTGCTGCTACTGCTGCTGCAGCTGCTGGGTTCTGTTGCTGCTGCTGCTGCTGCAGCGGCTGTTGCTGCTGCTGCTGCTGCTGCCCTGCTGCTGCGGCTGCTGCGGTTGCTGCTGTTGCGGCTGCTGCTGCTGCTGCAGCTGCTGGGTTCTGCTGCTGCTGCTGCTGCGGCTGTTGCTGCTGCTGCTGCTGCTGCTGCAGCTGCTGCTGCTGCCCTGCTGCAGCGGCTGCTGCTGTTGCTGCTGTTGCGGCCGCAGATGCAGCAGCTGCGGCTGCTGCTGCAGGTGCTGCTGCTCCGGCTGCTGCTGCTGCCGCTGTTGCTGCGGCTGTTGTTGCCGCTGCTGTCGCTGCTGCCGCTGCTGCTGCTCTTGCAGGTGCAGCTGCAGCGGCTGCTGCTGCTGCTGCGCGGCCGCCGCGGCCGCCGCCGCCGCCGCGCCAGCGGCCGCGGCGGCGCCCGCGGCAGCGGACCCGAGGGCGGCCGCGCGGGCCACGGCGGCCGCGGCGCCGGCTGCGTGGCCCACGGCCGCCGCCTCCGCCACGGCGGCGGCGGCGGCGGCGGCGGCGGCAGCCGCCGCGCCGGCGGCCGCAGGGGCGGCGGGCGCCGCCGGCCGCCGAGCCCGCGGCGCCGGCCCCAGCGGCGCCGGCGGCGCCGGCGGCGCCCGCGACGCCCGCGGCCGCGCCGGCGGCGGCGGCGCCCGCGGCCGCGGCGCCGGCGGCCGGCGGGGGAAGGCGGCCGTCCACGCGGGGCCGGGGGCCGCGGAGGTGCGGCGCGCGCACCGGCGGCGTCAGCGGCCCCAGCGGAGGCGGCAGCGGAGTCAGCGGCCGCGGCGGCGGCCGCGGCGGCGGCGCCGTCGCCGGCGGCCGCGGCGCCGGCGCCGGCCGCCGCGGCCAAGCCCGGGGGGCCGCCGCAGGCGGCGGGCCGCAGGCGAGCCGGGGCGGCAGCGGCGGCGGCGCGGCAGGCAGCCCTGCGCCGCTGCCGCCGCCGCCGCGCAGACGGCGACAACATGGCGGGGCGCAGCGGGAGCGCGGACGGGAGGCCCCGTCTGCGCTCCCGCAGGAGGGGGGGACGAGGGCCAGGGGCAGGCCCCCGGCCGCGGCCCGGCAAGCCGGCTCGGCACCTCGAGCCAGAGCGGCTTGAGCCAAAGGGGGTTACGGAACTGGTGGGGATACGCGAAACGTGAATAATTTACAACCGTCGTGCTACCATTCGAAGCGCGCAATCGGGAACGACGAAGCTTTTCTGGCCACGGCGAAACTCGACCACGAGCGGGTTCTCCCGGCCTAGATCTAAGAAGCGCCCCAGAAGCCTGAACCCCTCCTGACCCCAAAGTGGTCCTCCTTTCAGCGTCTTGACTATGGGTTCGCGTGCGGAGCGAACACAGCATCCGCCGCGCAACTGATCCCGCGTGTGGGAGGGCATTTGCCGCGCCGTCCCTTCCGCGAATGAAATGTCACGCGCCACGCGGTTCCGCTTCCGTTGGGCACGGCGGGCGGAAGCCATGCCCCGCGCCAAAACTGTAGCGAAGGCCCGATGAACCTTCTGCGCGCTGCTTTACGCAGGAGCAACGGGCTCGCTATGTCTGGCGCGTGGATCCGCCAGCGACCGGCGTGGCGAGCAAAGAACAATGTGCCATGTCCTGGGACTGAACGTTCAGGAACAACTTGCATGCATTTTTTATGTCATCTGAATTCCCACATCGTGCCCCGCGATGGGTTCGCGTACCCTGGAACGGCACCTTCCCAGCCAAGGGCGCGATGCGCGAAGCGCTATTATCTTCGCGCCCCCGCGGGTGATCTAGTTTTTCACAGTTCGGGGAAAAGTGAGAAGTGATCCCCTGTCGGAGCGGAGGCGAGGGGAGTTGGCGTGTGAATTGATGCGAAATCAGGGCAAGAGCAGGGACGAGCTAGGAGGAGTACATAACGGTTCCCGTGGCCACGCCGTTGTGTTTACTGAAGTTCGGGGAATGGGAGCGGGAGGGAGAGAACCACGGAAGCAGGGAGGGGGGCCAGGGTGAGAGAAAGGAGGGAGGAAGGACGAGGAGGATGCCGGCGATGGGGAGGACAGGGGCGAGGAGGGAGGATCGGGTGGAGCAGGGAAAGAAGAATGAAGCGGGGTCACCACGGGTGTAGCTTTCGCTGTAAAAATATGATAATGGCGAGGACGAAGATGATGAGGAGAAGGGGGATTATCATCCCTGCCTCGCCATAACTTGATTCCTCTCCCTCGCTGTTGGCAATGAGCTGCGCTTCCTGCCCCAAAGAAACATCCGCCGTCGCTGCTTCTTCCCCCACATCCCCTTGCGTCGCCAATGCCCTTATCCTGACCGTATTCCATTGTCGTCCGCTGAGGCCCTCGGTCTGTCGCATCGCCCACGGTTGCAATCGCGCCCAAGCCTGCGGCACAGGGCGTGGATGTCGCCGACGCCAGGGGCAATTTAGATTGACGTGGTCGTGCAACGTGCTGGTGGTCGCTAAAGATCGCGGTCGCGCTCGCATTTGCGATCGCTGCCACGCCTGAAATCCGGCTCCCTCGTTGCTGCCGCTGGCGCTGACACATGTTCATCTCGCGCATCCCTTCTCCTCATCGTGCGCCTCTCCCTTCCTCGAACAGACTTCTCTGCCCCTCTCTGCCATCGCATCGTGCTGACGCTCACCGCTGCCGCGCTCACGTCTGTCAGCTCCTCTCGCGCACTCCTCGTCCTTTTTGTCCTGCCCGCCCATATGAGGGCCTTTCTTGTTCTCATCTCCCCTGGGCTCCCAAACTCCATCTTAAACGTGCTACCTCGCCCGACGCGCTCTCCACATGGCTGCTGCCTCCTTGCCTCACGCCTGCTCTGCGGCCCGAGGTGGCGGTGCTTGCGCAGAAGAGGAGGCTTGACCTCCTTTGCCGCTGCTTCTTCCTTTGGCGCAGCTGGGCTCCACCTGGGAGGATTGTGCATAACTGAAACCCAGGATCCCTCGCAGACCACCGATACCACCCTGTGCAAGTCCTTGGTCTAAGATTCGTCTGATGCGAAGTCCGCATCTCCCGCAATAGCGAGCCCGCTTGTAAAAACATCTCGCTACTCCTTCTCCCTAAATTCTCCCCTTCATCCTCCTGTTCCTCCATTTGCTCACCCTATCCTCCCACTTCCCCCTCCCCCTTTCAGGGGCCATTTCATTTTCCTCCTCCTCCTCCTCCGCCTGCTCTTCCTCGTCGTCGTCCGTGTGATTATCCTCCTGCTCTCCCTTGTCATTGTTTGACAAATCGCTTTCCCAGGTTCCTTTCGTTCCTCCCGAGAATGCCTGCTGACGAAAACCAGCGACCTAAAGAGACTGGCTCAACCACGGGTGACTCCTTCCGCATTTCAAATGGAAGGGCTTTGACAAAGCACTGCCCTGGCTGGTAAACTCCTAAATCAACAGCCCACTCGACTTTGTCATGCTCTTCACGACTGTCCAAAATGCTCCTTCGAGTCCTCGCTCATGTCGCTGCCGTTGTGTTTCTACCCTGTCTCCCACTATCACCTAGACAATCTGCGTATCTGTTATTATTCTCCTAACTCTGAGCTTCCCCTGCCTCTCTTGGCTCTGCCAATCCTGAATGCTGCCAGTGCCAATCCCATAGTTCCGAACAACTCCTGGCACCCCCTCGGCATTTCTCAAAGAACGCCTCGGCCACTCCTCCCTCCGGCTCATCTTGCTAGGACGCTCTCAAGGACCGTCCTCACGCTACAGACATCAGCATGGTCCCGTCCATGGCCTCCATATTCCCCCACTCCGCCAAACGACGTGATCCGAGGATACGTTCGCGACACATCAGGAGTATCCTAAAGGGTTCGGACCTCTCTGCGCACAATCAGAGGGAGCTCTGGAACGATGTCAGATTTTCTCGACAAGGGACAAGAAACGATCTGAAGGCCAGTACCCATCAATAGGGTGCCACACCGCCTCTCAAATGATTTCGCAGTGAAAGTATGCAGCGCTGTCCATGATGGCCTCTCTGTTCTACGACTCTGGATGCGAGCATTCGCCCCCCATGGACCACGCCTAAACCAACGGATTGAATGTGATAGATCTCCCGCCCAGATTCGTAGGCGGCTGCTCACGCATTGCACTGCATCGCACCAGACATGTCCTGCTCACCGCCCTCCTGTTTCCCACCACGGTCTCCACACGAGCCACCCTCTCTGCGTATGTTCCTACATCCGCCGCATGGCAATGCACAACAAGCGCATGCACCACGCGCAGGGCCGTGCGGCATTGCCTCAAGCCAGGCATCCTGCGCTCAGGTGCTCCTGCCAATCGTAGGACCTGCATCCCCTGATTCTCGCAGACTTTTGCCACTGATTGAGTTCCTGTGCAAGACGTAGCTCGGAGTCTCTGCATGGATCGCCTTGCGATGAAAACGGCTTATGTCAGAGAAACGGGTATTTAGCAGGCGTGTGTGTGTAGTATCTGTTCTTATGTTGATTTCTACAACAGCGCACGCGTTCACAGGGCGCCCTTTTTGGATCAAGGGTAAAAGCATCCTTATCATCGATCCCCGCCCGCCTGGGCGGACTCTCATGGTAAGCGGAGCGTGATAGCTCCGGGACCTGCGCATCATAGGCCGCTGGGCTGGGCCGCCGCGCCCGGGCGCCCCGCGGCAGGCAGCGGCCGCCGCCGCCGCCAGAGGTCGCCGCACCTCCCCTCCGCCGCCGCGGTCACCACCGCGGCTGTCGTGGCAGCCCACGACGACGCACCCTCCGCCGCGCTGGCCGAAGGCCCCGACCTGTGCAAGGACGCCGCTGCTCACCATTCTCCATATCTTCCCGAAGATGTCCATCGAGCTGGACAGGAACGGCATCCCTCAGTATGCCGGGCAGCCAGAGTATTTCAACGAATATGAGGAGCGCGCCTGGGATCTTTACCGCGGCAGGACGGGCGAGAAGTCGAAGCAGGCCGCCACGGCCCTGCACCTACGCTCGGGCCTGTCTGGTCCAGCATACGAGGCTGTGCGCAAGCTCAAACACGACGAGCCGATCGCTACTGACGAGTACGGTGAATCAAAGCCGGACGGGCTCACTCTCTTTCTAACGACGCTGAAGAAGCAGGTTCAAGACATTGCGCCCGTCCGGAGCACCGAGATCTTCGACAAGGCACTGTATGGCTCTTCGGTTTGGCGTGATCGCAACGAGTCCATGGGTAACTATGTGACGAGGAGGTGAAAATAGTTCGCCGAGTTGCAGGAGGTCAGCGCCACAACGACGATCTCAGAAGACATCCAGGCCGCGCTGATCCTCAGGTTCTGCGGCATCAGTATGAAGGAGCAGGCCGCGGTCCTCGCCTCCAACAAGAACGAGTACAAGCTAGCAGGCATCGAGTACGCTCTGAGGGCACAGTACCCAGCGGTACATCGACAGCAGGACCGACGCGCTGATCGCCGAGAGCGGTCCGCCTACGCCTACGCCGCGTCGGACCAGGACGAGAACCCGTCGGAGCTCGACCACGTCTACTACGAGGACGGGACGAGGACGAGGACGGCTACTACCAGGGCGAGGAGGAGGACTACGAGCACGGCGAGGACGACGAGTTCGACATCGAGAACTACGTCGCGGAGAACCTCGACGAGCTGGGCACCGAGGAGGCAGAGGCCCTCGCTCTCGTTTTGCAGAGTCGCAACAAGATCTTCAACAAGAAGAAGCCGACTAGGCGAGTGACTTCGAGCTTCCACGGTCGTGGCAAGACCGGTGGGAAGGGAGGCCGCCGTGGAGGCGGCAAGGGATTGCCGAGCAAATCGCCCGCGGGGCGAGGAGGCAGCAGCAGTTCGAGTAGCGCTGTCCCCGGCTACGACGACCGACGGCGCGATGCTCGCCGGCAGCACATCGCCAACCTGAAGAAGCGGACCCAGTGCTCTGACTGCCACCAGTTCGGGCACTGGCAGGGCGATGATGTTTGCCCTCGTCGGTCGAGCCGGAAGCCTACATCGGCGTCTCCAGCCAAGAAGCCCGCTCAGAACTACTTCGCGCTCGAGGAGTACGGGGGCAACGACGACGACAGCGCGCCGTCTGAGGTCTTCATGGCTCTGAAGGGTGAGATGGAGCATGCCTGCGAGCACGTGGCCGACGACGCCTGCGAGAAGGTCGTCCGCGGCGCCAACAAGACCACCAGGTACATCACATGCAGGGGGTGCGACCGCCACTTCACGCTCGCCCACCGCAACAAGGGGCTTGAGCTGTGGAGCTACTACATGACGGTCTTGATGGGCACGAAGTGGGGCCGCCTCCTGTTCCGCAAGGAGTTCGCGAAGCGGACCGCCATGGTGGTCGACACCCTGATGGTTCAGGGTCGCCTCCCATCTACGTATTCGAGGAGGCGGGCGGCGGCGCCTGCGGCGCGACGCCTTACCGGCAAGCAGCGGCTATTCGGCCGGCTGCCTGCAAGAGGCGACGGGCCACGTGCGCCTACACCGGCGCCCGCGTCTGCGGCCAGTTCTACGAGGCCGAGTGCTACTGGATCAGCACCAGCCGCACCACCTACACCCGAGAAGCGCATCATCAAGGTCGACCTGACCCAGGGCGACCCCGAGCCGAAGCCGGGACCGGAGCTGGCCTTCCTGTGCGGCATCCCGCTCCACCACAGCATCGAGCTGGTGGAGTTCCTGGATCTCGATGGCGTCGACCAGCTTAACCCGGTCCCGTACCCAGCGGAGGTCATCAACTTCGGCACGCACAAGGGGCGAACCTTCCAGGATGCAGCGTCCGACCCGTCACTCATCTGGTATAACAAGTGGGCTCTGGACCAGGTCTTGGACCCCGAGGCGGAGGAGATCAACCTCCACTTGTACCGCTACGCGTACTTCCTCTATGCCATCGTGAAGATCGCGCGTGGCAAGTTCAACGTTGCCCCGCAGCAGATGATCGACGGCGACAAGAGGAGGCCCCCCGCCGACAACGACTGGATGAAGGTCAACGCCGGCGGCTTCACCATCCCGGTTCAGCCCAACATCCATCAGCCAGACGTCATCTCTACTTACGAGTGTTCGGTCATGGTCGCCACTACCAGCAACGCCTTCTCGGCACACGACAACGACGCCGACATCATGCTCGCCATCATCGACACTGGCTGCACGCGCACCATGCACGGCGAGTCGTGGCGGGCAGCCTTCGAGCGTAAGCTCGCGAGGCGCGGTCTTCAGGTAGTGAAGACCCCAACCTCCCGCGCATTCAGAGGGGTCGGCGGCCGCGCGAGGAGCACCACGGCGGTTCGCTTTCCCGTGAGCATCGGCGGGAAGTGCGGCGAGATCTTGTCGTGTGAGGTGCCGGGCGACTGCCCAATGCTGCTCAGCAGGGACATGCTCACCAAGCTCGGGCTGAGCACGCGGCTCTCCGCAGAGGGCGATGTCGCCGACTTCGCCAACATCGGCGTCTACAACCTGAAGCTCCACCACACCAAGGTGGGCCACCCGGCGGTCAACCTCCCCTTGACCTGCCGAACGAGAGCTACGAGATGGCCGAGTGGGCGGCGCTGACGATGCCCGAGGACCACCACCTCGAGTACTTCCCCGAGCAGTTCCACGTCGGCATCACCTTCATCGAGGAGAGCTCGGCTGAGCCTCTCCCCAGCTTCCTGGACATCGAGATCGGCGAGACTACGGACGACGAGTGCCTCCAGACGGTCGTCGACCACGACTACGGACCGGACGTCTTCGCCGCCGAGGCCATCGAGTGGGGCGGCAAGCGCAACCTCACCAACAAGAAGTCCAAGAAGCTCGAGAACTCCCTGGAGGCCATCGCCGTGCAAGACGAGGCGGTGCAGGCCGTCGTGGAAAAGCATGCGCCCAGGGCCCGGCTGCCTGCTGGCGCCCGGACGTGGGTCAAGCAGACCTACGCCGGCCAGATGGGTTTGACAGTGCTCATGGCCGCGATGGGCCTCTCGGTCGGCGTCCCGCTGGACAGGCACACGGGCTGGGACGCTACCACCAGGCTGGGCAGGCAAAGGTGCGACGCGGAGATCACCAACGAGGAGCCGTACTGCCTCGTGGTCTCGCACCCCTCCTCGCCGTGGGGCAACTGGAGCAGATTCAACATGGCCCGTTGCCCGGAGACCGAGAGGAAGATCTTGGCCAAGCGCGAGGCGAACCGCCCCATTCTCAGGCAGGTGGACTCCTCAGTGGACAGCCGAGTGCGGAGGGGCTTCCACGTGGCGCTGGAGCACCCCCAGGGCTCCGAGGCCTTCGACCAGCCGGAGATGTCAAGGATTCGTTCTCTCCTGGACAAGGGCATCCTGAAGAAGGTCACCTTCGACGGCTGCCAGGTAGGGCACCGCGATGCTGAGTCAGGCTTGGCTCATCGCAAGCCCATGATGATCATTACCACCATGGACACGCTGGTCGAGGCCCTTTCCGACAAGAAGTGCAGCTGCACCCAGCACGAGCAGCTCAAGGGCCGCAGCAAGTTCGGGCCGCGCACCCTGCAAGCGGCCGAGTGGCCGGAGGAGCTCAACCACATCGTCGCCCGCAGCATCGTACAGCAGGCCATCGTCGACAACGCCACGGACACCGACTGGCAGTTCCCAGCAGAGGACGGTCCAGACCTTCGTGGGCCAGTTCGACTACGACGACGGACCAGGCTGCGGGGGCACCCGTACCGGGCAGCCATGGCGCCGCCAGCGCCACCGCTTGACCCGAACGCGCCTGAGCCTGCTCCTCCTCCAGCTGACCAAGAAGCTGTGGGGGAACCACCACCTCCGCCAGCCGTCGATCCCGACGGCGGGCGAGCCCGAGAGGCCGCTCAGCTCGGCCCCATCACCAACACTCAGGAGGCCGAGCGGCGCAGGCGATGGCTGGAGGCCCCGCCGGAGGTTAGGAAGGCCATCCGCCAGCTACACGTCAACTTCCACCACTGCTCGAACGTGACGCTGACCAGGCTGCTGAGGCGCCGAGGAGTCAAGCCGGAGGTGCTGAAGTATGTGGAGTTCTTTTCCTGCGACGCCTGTGGCGACGCCATTCGTCGGCGCGCCCCGCGACCTTCGCGGTTGCCAGGTCAGTGCGTGTTCAACTACGCCATCCAGCTGGACACCTTCCACGCCTACGACGCTGCCGGGACCCCCTATTTCTTTATGAGCTGCATCTGCGAGGGCACGAACTTCCAAGTCGTGTGCTGCATGGGCCCGGCTCGTGGATCACCGACGGCGCGTGCCACTACCAAGGCGCTCACTACCAGCTGGACCCCATGGGCTGGCTACCCAGAGAAGCTCACGGTGGACCTGGGCAAGGAGTGGATGAAGGATTTCGCCTCCAACGCGAAGGCGCACGGCGTGCAGGTCGACCTGGCCCCGTTGGAGACGCCGCACCTCATCGGCAAGTGCGAGCGCCACGGGGGCATTTGGAAGGAAATCTGGCGACGCACTGTCGCCGACTCCCAGGTCACAGGGCTGGGTGACGTCGAGGAGACCGCCTCCATCGTGACCCAGGTCAAGTACGAGCTGGGCCGGCGCGGGGGGTTATCCCCTTCGCAATGGGTCTTGGGGTCGCACGGACCCCGCGCCCCAGGAAGCCTCCTGCAAGACGACGAGGCGCAGCGGCTGGAGGTCATCGAGGCGTCGCTCGACCCACAGTCTGCCATGGCCCGCGCCATGGCCCTGCGCGAGGCGGCCCGCATCGCACACGTCCGCCTTGATTCCGACGACCGCGTCAAGCGCGCCATCCTGCGCAAGGCGCGGCCTAGCCGAGGCCCTTTCAACATTGGGGCCATCGTGCACTTCCGCCGGTCGCAAACCCGAGTCGGCGAGAGCCCCGAGGTCACGCACCGCTGGTTTGGGCCGGCCCGGGTTATCGGGCATGAGGTGCGCGACCCTCGTCAGCTCTCTCGCGACACCGACGAGCCCGTCGGCACGCTAGCCCATGCAGTGTGGCTGCGCTATGGGCGCACCACCGTGCTCGCAGCCCCTGAGTCGCTCAGGTTCGCCTCCGAGGACGAGCTGCTCGCCATGCACACCTACGTGAACCCGGACCTGCTGCCCCTCCGGTCGCTGAAGGGGGCCAGGCACTACATCGACATCCGGGCCGACACGGCGGCAGCCTCGCCCGCCCCGATGCCCAGGCCGCAACGACACGCGGCTGGTCACGGAGGGGTGGTTGGGGGCGCGCTCGGATCTGCCGGGCCAGGACCTGACGTAAATTTCGACCTCGACGAGTTCAACACCGAGGAACATCTACCACAGCAGCGGGTCGACCCTCCACAGCCGGCACACGAAGTACCACAACAGGCATCTCCAATTATTCAGGAGACCGACGACACACTACTACCACCACCAACTCAGCATCAGCCTCCTCCTGTGGTTCCTGAGCCACCACGCCCGGGGCTCCCAGAGGCAGAGGGGCCGCCGCGCTCGTACGGCCCGGGCGAGCCCGGCATTTATTCCGAAGTTAAAAGTCATCGGGTTGATCCTCGAGTATCCCAGGAGGCTATCGACAAACCGGCGCCCCCTGACGACGAGGCCATCGACAAGCCGGCGCCCCTGGACGACGAGATGGGCGTGGGCCTGGAGCGCGGGGAGAAGCGCAGAGGCCCGCCGCTTACCCAGCTGGACAGAGCCATGCGCGATCCGGAGCGTCTGGATCGAGGTTCTACCAAGAAGCCTCGCACCTTCCAGGGCTACGTGGAGGAGGAGTCCCGCGTCATGGAGGACGCCCTCCACGAAGTGTTCTTCACCAGCGACTACAAGCCGGACCTGGCTGTCGCCTACGAGTGGCGTCGCACCGACTACGGCATCAAGAAGTTCATCACCACGGACATGCGTGGCCCTCGCTGGTCCAAGGTGCTTCGCCGCATCACCAGAGACATCAAGACGGGCATCGTGATCGATGACATCGACGTCAGAGGTCTTGCTCTTCGCGATGCCCGCCTTCGCTGGCCTCTGCCTGGTGGCATCACCGCGGTCGAGACCATCTTCGTCCACACCGACGAGGACGTGGGCACGAATGACACCGTCGAGTTTGCCTACCTCACCAAGGGCGCGGTCCGCTCCGAGATCAGACTTCAAGATCTCGCCCCAGAGCAGAGGAAGGAGTTCGACCAGGCTATGGCAAAGGAGTGGCGCAGCTGGACTGAGTTCCAGGCCGTCGAGGTGCTGAGCTCCAGCCAGGCCAAGGAGCTCCTCGACAGGGGTGCCTCCCCAGTTGGGACGCGCTGGGTTCACACGGACAAGAACGCCAAGAAGCGCAACCCCAAGCAGACCTACGACGACATCCCGCTCGCTGCCAAGAGTCGGCTCGTCGTGCAGGGCTGCCAGGAACGAGGAGATGATATCCGAGGCGACGCTCCTACTGCTAGCCTTTTGGTTCCCCATTGGTCGCCAGCTACGCTGCCTCCCATCGGTGGCAGGTAAGGACAGCTGATGCTGCGACGGCCTACCTGCAGTCCAAGGGCATTGAGCGCATTCTGCTTCTTCGAGCTCCTCGTCCTCCACCACCTGGAGTTCCGGAGGGGTCCTACATGCGAGCTCGCGGCGCCATCTACGGCACCAAGGACGCGGGCAGGCAGTAGTGGCTGCATCTGCGCGCCATCCTCGTGGAGCAGGGTTGGCGCGAGTCCATCTACGAGCCCTGTCTGTTCATGCTCAGGGACAGCATGGGTAAGCTCATCGGCTTGCTGTGCACGCACGTCGACGACCTCTTCGTCACGGGCGCGGGCGAGCAGTTCGAGCGCGTGATGGAGATCATCAAGGACAAGATTCACCTTTCCTTCCAGTCCGACGCGTTCAGGTACTGCGGCAAGGTCGTGGAGCAGGACAGCCAGACCTTCGACATCAAGATCGGCCAGGCCGCCACGGTCGAGGCGCTGGAGTACATCGCCCTCGAGCCACACCGCCGGCGCAAGCCCAATGCACCACTCACCCCGGAGGAGATCTCTGCCCTCCGTAGCGGTGTTGGGTCCCTTGGCTGGGTAGCACGGCAGACGCGCCCTGACCTGGCCGTCCACGCTTCGCTTGGGGCTCAGTCTATGAGTGGTCCCAAGATCCGCGACATCGTTGCAGTGAATCGTGCCATCAAGATGGCCAAGGACGACGTCGACTTCAAGCTGGTGTTCTCGTCCCGCCTGGACTGGGACAGCGCCATTGTGTTCGGCTGCGGTGACAGCAGCCACGGCAACATCGACGACCTGACGCTGGGCGAGAAGGTCAAGTCGCAGTGCGGCTACATCATCGGCATGGCGTCGCCCGACCTCGAGACGGACGCCACCGCGATCATACATCCACTGGAATGGGCTAGTGCGACGATCAAGCGAGTGGTTCGCGGATCGCTCGCAGCTGAATGCAACGGTTTCCTGACGACGGCCGAGAGCGCGGAGTTCCTCAAGCATGTGATCGCCGAGATCTCCGACCCCGGCTACTCGTCCTACCAGTTCGACCCGTTCTTCGACGGCAAGCACCTGCTTCTGCTGACGGACGCGAACGGCCTCGTCACCTCCTTGGAGAAGGACGGTGGTCAGCCCGCTGACAAGCGAGTGCGGATCCTGATGGCCCAGATCCGCCAGCTGCTCGGCCATGACGTGATGAAGCAGGAGCGAGAGGGTGATGACTGGAGGATACGAGTCAGATGGATCGACACGAAGTTAATGATCGCGGACGCTCTGACGAAGACCGAGGCTGAGAGGAGTTTCTTGCTAGAGCGGCTGACCGAGGGCCGCTGGTGTTTGGCACAGACGGAGGAGATGCTCGCTGCCAAGGTAGCGGCAGGTGAGGCGCGTCGAGCCCGCAAGGCCCGGCCAGGCGATGCGGAGGGGTAATCCCCCGACTTTCGTTTCCCTCCTTCTCCTCCTCCTCCTCTCCCACGCACCGTTTGGTTTCGCATTCGTCTCGATTATGCCCTAGCATAGCTAGGTACCGCCCTGTGTTTTATAGTTCCATATTTGCACGCCTGCATAGGCACCGCTCTGCCGTTTTTTTTGGGGGGAGATTTTCCATCTTGAAGAGCAGTGGATTTCATTATCTCATTCGTTTTTCTTCTCTGTCTAATGAAGCTTAGCCCCGCATTGTTTTTGGGGTCAGGACAAAGTTCTGCCACTTTTTGTCTCCGATCCCCCCGTTTTCCCGGGATTGTGCCCTACGAGGACAGGCCTCGATGGTCACGGAGGGGTGTCAGAGAAACGGGAATTTAGCAGGCGTGTGTGTGTGTGTGTGTGTGTAGTATCTGTTCTTATGTTGATTTCTACAGCAGCGCACGCGTTCACAGGGCGCCCTTTTTGGATCAAGGGTATAAAGCATCCTTATCATCGATCCCCGCCCGCCTGGGCGGACTCTCAGCTTAACACTGTGGCAGCGAATGACGGCGTGAACTGCAGACGATCGCGGCAACCCCACCACCGATCTAGGATACTTAACTTAGTCCAACCCCTTCGGGGGAGAGAGCAGCCAGGCGATGAAGGGCGAAGAGGGAGGACCAGAAGTGAGGGCAAAGCGGTAGAAAGGAGGAGGCGAAGGAGGAGAAGGAGGAGGAAGAGGAAGCGGCGAGGAGTGGGGGGAGGAGGAGACGGTCGAACGTCTAGCAACTGTGGAGGAGGAGGAGGAGGAGGAGGAGGAGAAGAGGAACGATAACGATTAGGAGGAATGACGGGTGGAGACAGGAGGGTCTGAGAGGGAGGAGGGGAGAGAGAAGGGAGTGCAGACCAAACAGCAGGATGCATCAGCAGAAAACTGTGGCAAGTCAGCGCGGGTCGGCGCTGAAACGCCTCCCATGGTGCGCGAAGCATGCCAACGGCGGCGCCAGAGCCGCCGCTGGTCCAGTGCTGACCCAAGATATCAGCACGGGCGCCAGACAACTCTGCACCTGCTCCTTGGACGGAGGGGAGGGAGGGCAGGAAGATAAAAGGATGTTACGATACCTTTGTCTCAGGATGCATTCCAGGATCCCCAAAGCATCTGACGGCACTCGCTTCTAGAGCCAATTGCGGAACAATCGGACACATCGGAACTCTTGAAAAGTGTGGTGGGAATTAAAGGATCCCAATGCCACTACTACCAGGACCATTCCAGGAATGTGATCTGACACAAATTTCGAAGAGAATCCAGCCGTGGCGGTGAGGTCCACGCAACAAGGCAGAACCGGGAGCGGGAGCAAGAACGCCCGCCTCCAGATCGCATGGCTTCCGATCGGGCGGCGCCGCATGCGCGGCCGCCAGGACTGCGCACGAGAGGTAGGCACCGCGCACCGCCGCCTTGGCGGCGTCCTTCGCCGCGGCGCCCTCCGCCGCCGCCCCCGCGCACGAACCGTAGATGGCGCGCAGAGCCGCTCTGGCGGCGGCTCGTGAGAGGGAGCTCCTCTATGGGCTGGGGGGGGGGGTCCGTGTCTGTGTGTGTGTGTACGTGTGTGTGTGTGTGTGTGTGTGTGTGTGTGTGTGTGTGTGTGTGTGTGTGTGTGTGTGTGTGTGTGTGTGTGTGTGTGTACGTGTACATGTGTGTGTGTGTGTACGTGTGTGTGTGTGTGTGTACGTGTATGTGTACGTGTATGTGTGTGTGTGTCTGTGTGTGTATGTATGTGTGTGTGTGTGTGTCTGTGCCTTTGTGTGTGTGTATGTGTACGTGTGTGTGTGTGTGTGTGTGTCTGTGTGTGTGCGTATGTCTGCGTCTGTGTCTGTGTTGGTGTTAGTGTCTGTGCCTGTGCCTGTGCCTGTGTCTGTGTCGGTGTCTGTGGTGTGTGCTCGGGAGGCCTAAGGGCAAGGGGGGCGGCTAGGGAAGGCTACAACAAGGATTGGGGTAGGGCCGGGGAAAGGCTAGTTAGGGAAAGGGGGGCGGGGGGCCACGGAAGGTGTCAGGCGGGGCCAAGGAGGGCTCGGGATGGGGACGGGGGCCGCCCGCCGTTCGTCTCCTGAGGTGGACTCTTGGGGGCCACTTGGGGGAAGGGCGGGGGAGGAGGGGATTTTTTGAGGGGTCTAGAAAGACGGATGTGGACAGGCGCGGCCGGGGTGGGACCGCCCACGTCGGCGACGAGGGGTTCGCGGCCTCGCAGCACTACCTGGCTTCCGCCCCCCTTGCTGCGGCCGCGCGCTTCGTCGCCGACGAGGCGAACCACGACCCAGTGGCTGCTGCGGCCCTGCGCGACGCGGGCGGCCCTGGGGCGAGCGCCTGGCTGGGCCCGCCTTCCTGGCCAGAGCGCCGCGTCTCAGACGTGTAGTTTGGCATTGCACTGGGCGCGCGCCTCGGCGAGGACCTGCCCTTTTGCGCCGGAGCGTGCCAACGCCGATACCCCGACGGGAGCGCGTGCGGAGCTGTGCTGGACCCCAAGGGGCCGCATGCGCGATTCTGCGCATTGGGCGGGTGGCTTCTCCGTCGCCACGACGCTGGCTGTGCCGCACTGGCAACTCGGTGCGAAGAAAAGGCTGCACGGCGCACAGGGAGATGGCGCTGCCGCAGGCTGCAGATAGCCGGTCCGAGGCAAGGATGGACCTGATCGCCCGCGCCCCCCAAGTAACCATGCCCATCCTGGTGGACTTCGCAATAGTCAGCGCGCTGTCCCGGGACGCGCTGGGCCGCGGGTCAGCCCATCGCGCCGGGGCCGCGGCCGCGGCGGCCGAGAACGACAAACGCGCGGCACCCCGGGCTGAGAATGGCCCACTTCGCGCGGTGGGGGACCGCGGCAAGCTGGGGGAACGCCTTGTCCTTAGTGCGCCTGCTAGCCTTGCCACCTCCATGAACATCCGTCTGAACAGCGCCCAACCTTTCAGAACGTCGTGCGAAGAAGGCAGGCACTGCATTTCGTTGCAGCAGGAGGCGCCGCCTCCACTTCGCGCGCAGCGCGACCGCCGTTTTGCGTTGCCCCAGCGCAGCAGGTCACGTCAGCCGCACCATCGGCTGCGCGCGGGTGCGAGCGATAAGAAAAACCCGCCGCCGTGAGCATGGAGCCGCGCCTCCTCGCCGCGTGACCCAGGCCGCCGGAGTCCTCGCCCCCGTAGGTCCAGCGCAGCGACGGCTGCCCGCCTCCGAAAGCCATCGAGGAGCAGGTGCGCCTTCGGCTTCATGCGCCAATTCTCCGGCTGCATCCGCTGGGGGGCAGCGAAAAACGACGAACCTGCTGGTGGAGTCGCGCAGCAGGTCGCGTCTGAAGACGCGGCCACTGCTCAACGTGTGGTAGCAAGTGTGCAAGCGGCGCATCGCGTTCAGTGGGGCGTCGTCCAAAGCGCGCCCAGAAACGCAATGGCTCTCGGAAGCTTCCATGCAAAACGGGATAGATGCCTCAGAATTGCCGCCTGGCCGCGGAACTCTGGGGAAGCCTTCTTGGCTTTCACAGCGCGCTCGCTGAAGTCACGCGGTCTGTCTGGCGCGCCGCTGGCATCGTGGGGCGCCTGGGTGAGCGCCAACGTCGCATCGCTCTTCTCCGTTCGGCTTCGCCCGGGCAGGTTTCGCGCTGCGATGCGCCGCGCCAACGCGCCCGCGAGATCCGCTCCGGCCCCGATGTCCACAGCGCGCGTGCAACCAATCAATCTTGAATGGGCATCGCCCTCCCAAGTCTTTCCTGCCGGCGAAAAATTTCCCCGCGGACTCCCCCGCCGAACAAATAAGCTTCTGGAGGGGGCAGCTCATTTATTCTGCGACACCCCCACCGCTGCGATAAAAAATGGCCCTTCCTCCTTCCCGCTCTTCTCCTTCCTCATCCCCGCTCTGCTCCTTCTCGCTCTTCCCTTTCCTCCTTCCCACTTTTCCCGTCCTCCAACTTCCCACTCTTCTCCTTGATCCTTTCACGCCCTTGCATTTCCTCTCCTTCTTGCCCCCATCGCTCATTTCCCTTTCTCGCCTTCCCCCTCTTCGCCGCCGCCTCGCCGCGGCACGGTCCGCGCCGCTCCGCGGCGCGGCCGGGGCCGCGCCCGCGGGCCCGCGAGCCCCGCAGCCGCCGAGCTGCGGGGGGGGCGGGGGATGATGATGACGATGATGACGGTGATGATGCGGATGGTGTTTATGATGCTGATGTTACTGATGAGGGTGATGATGCTGAAGATGATGGTGAGGCTGAATATGGTGGTTATGGTGATGATGCTGGTGATGGTGGTGATGGTGATGCTGGTGTCGGCGATGATGGTGATGCGCATGCTGGTTATGGCGATTATGACGATAGTGGTGATGATGGTGATGCTGATGGTTATGATGGGGATGTTGATAAAAAAGAATGTTGATGATGGTGATGCTGGTGGCGAAGATGCTGATGCTGGTCATGCTGCTAATTTTTACGACGGCGATGATGCTGATGATGCTGATGGTGGCGACGATGACGATGCTGATGTGCTGATCATGAGGACGAGGGCGATGCTGGTCATTATGAGGAGTTGGAGGAGGCGGATGAGTCAGGAGGAAGAGGAAGAGGAGGACGAGGGGGAGAAGGAAGAGGAGGAGTAGGAGGAGAAGGGGGATGAGGAAGAGGAGAATGGAGAAGCATGGAGAAGAGGAGCGCGTGGATGAGGAGGAGTCGGAGGCGCAGGGGGGGCGGAATTGAGGCAGGGGGAATCGGAAGAGGAGAAGGGCGAGGAGAAGGAGGATGGGGTGGGGGGGGGGGGGGGGGAGGAAGAAGAGGCACTGGGAAAGGATAAGGCAAAGTAGAGCGACGGCAACGAGGAGGGGGGGGGCAGCGCAGCGCTGGCGCCGCAGCGGGGCGCCCCGCGCACCGCCATGTGGGCGGATTTCCCCCCCCCCCCTCCTCCTCCCCCCCCCGCCTCCTCCACATCCTCCTCCTCATCCACCTCCTCTTCCTCTTTCTCCGTCCCCTCCTCCCCCCCCCCTCCCCCCGTCCTCCCTTCCTCCC